AAAAATGACTTCCATTCCTCTCCCCTAAGGGACATTGGAAGGAAAGCGTTTGTCTGTCTGGTCTGAGTGTCAGCGATATTCCACTCACTTGCAACAGCCCCCCACGCTGGCTTCCCAGTACTTCTCTCTCAGATCCAGGGCCTGACAGTTCAGGGAGCATGCTCTCTCATCAGAAGGATTGATTAGGAAGGGTCTAAGGATTAGGACAGAGTCCCCTAAGGATTAGGGAAACAGAGTCAAGATTTTTGTTTTGGGGCACTGCGGGTCATTGGAAGAGGTCAGCCCCTCTATCACTAGGTTGTGGACAAGGCCAACTCCCTGCACAGCTTCAGCGTGGGGTGGTTCAGGGATTAGTCTTAGGACAGGGGGCACTGTTCACCCCATCCACTCCCAGCTGAATGCTGTCTCCTTTCCTGCTTCCAGATCATCGATCCCAAGATGCCCCGGGAGGGCCTCCTGCACAATGGTGTCCCCATCCCTGTCCCCCCACTGGATGTGCTGAAGCTGGGAGAGCAGAAACAGGCCGAGGCTGGAGAGAAGCTCTTCCTTGTCCTCTTTTTTGACAACAAACGCACCTGGTGAGTGAGTGCTGCTGCTGGGAGGGTGCACCAGGATGCAGGCTGAGGGGCACAACTGGAAGGATGTTCTAATGCCGATGTACTGGAGAAGTACATAGAGGGGCAGTGGACTCAGTCACCTGCCTCTTCCCAGGTGAAGGTGAGGGGTTACTTGCCAGCAGTTAGCCCGCACTTGCCATGTTAATAGTAACTTAGTATTACTAATAACACTGCTTAATAATGTTAATAGTGACTGAGAGGTGTTGCAGATCCAACTCCCTGGGAAACACTCTTGAGTAGGAGAGTTGTATTAGGAGGCTTACTGGGGAGAGCTGGGGGGTGGGTGAGGGCTGCAGCGTGGGGCGGAGGAAGAAGCTGACCTGCAGCACACTTGCTGCAGAGGCCTCAGCTGATCCCGTGGGGAGCTCTGGAGCTGGGTGGCTCATTAAAGATATCAGGAATTGGGGCTGTGCCTTTGTACCCCCATGTCAACCAGTCATGAATGCTGGCTGCCACTAGGGAGTGGGGTGACCTTTGTGGAGGGAGATTTCTGGAGAGGGACTCAGTTGAGAGCCTGTAATCTGCCAACACTCCCAGTGGCTGCCGGAATGCATGTCTCAGTGCTGGGCAGGGTGTTTGGGACAGCACAGGGTCCGCCACAAGTGGCTTTTTTGCTCGTGGTTTACAAACTCCAGCAGGAGGCTTCTTTCACCTCTGCTTCTATAGAGTGAGGAGGCAGGACTAGCTAATAAAAATAATAATAATAGCCGCCACTTATTGAGCGTTTACTGTATGTCCTTATGCAGATTGCTTTACATACATGATTTCGTTTGATCCTCATTTAAATCTTCATTAATTCTATCCCAATCCATTTTGCAGATGAGAAAGCTGAGGCTCAGAAAACCAAGACCCCATAGCCAGAACTGAGATACAAACTAAGATCTGGCTTCAAAGGCTGGGCTCTTAGCTACATGTTAGATTCATCCCGGGACCTTTTTAAAAGCACCAGGTGCTGGCCCCACCAGAGATCAGTTCATGATTCCTGGCATCAGCTCCACTTCCTAGCCATAATGCCCTGACTCCCCAAGGCAGGGCGAGGCTCAGAGCCCTTCAGATGGCTCAGCTGGTCTCCCAGGGGGCACAGAGGCTTCCCTCTGCTCCAAGGCCTGACAACCCATTAAACTGACTGAGCGTCCTGGAGCCCAGGAAAGGGCCTGGCTGCAAAACAAGTCCCCTTGGTGGCCTCCTACCTGTGGTGTCCCAGTCTTCCCTCTTCTGCCCTGTCCCCTCTCACTGACTACTGGTACTGGGCAAGTGGGTTTAGAGGAGCCCTCCTGTGGGACCCACCATGGCCCAGGCCTCTTACTGTGCTTATATTTTAGGCAGTGGCTTCCAAGGGACAAAGTCCTGCCCCTGGGTGTGGAAGATACTGTGGACAAGCTCAAGATGCTGGAAGGCCGCAAGACCAGCATCCGCAAGTCAGTGCAGGTGGCCTACGACCGCGCGATGATCCACCTGAGCCGAGTGCGGGGGCCCCACTCCTTTGTCACCTCCAGCTACCTGTAAGGGCGGGGCCTGGCCTGCATCTGCCTGCCCTGCCTCCATCCCGCAGGGCACAGAGAAACCTCTTCCTGCCCCAGCCAGATGTGTGGCCAGCAGCTCCCCTCTTCCATGGCAGGCTGGGGACTGGGCTGTGTCCTCCCCAAGGGCAAGGCCCCAGTTTTGACCAACTGTATGGTTCCCCTCGCGGGCCTGCTGTGTGCCAAAAACTCCCACCTGAGCTCCCTCAGGGGCTGGTCCACTGAAGAACCAGTTAGAAGTAGAAACAGCTGTGAGGCTTGGGCTCGGCCTAGGAGATAGACCTGGCCCCAGAAGCAAGAGATCCTGGGCTCTTTCTCAAGGGTGTGCCTGGCCCCCTCACCCCACTCCCAACTAACTACACCTCAAGGTGAGCAAGGCTCTGACACTGAGCCCAGAGGTGCTGTGGATATACTTGGGTCCTGCGGGAAGTCTCACAGAGCTCACCCTCTCTTTCCCTCCATCACCCATCCTCATACCTCTTCCCAGTCCCATCTTCTCTGCATCTCTGCCCAGTCTCTCTTTTTCCCATGTTCCTTTCTCTTGTGCCAAACTGACAAAAACCATCACCAAACTGATCTTTTTCTTTTTATGTCTCATTCCCTTTGAGGCCAGCTGCTATGCTAGGTGGGTGCCTCCACCTGGCTCCTCAAGGCCCAGGACAGAGGCCAGCCTACCACTTGGGTGACGCCTTCACCAGCACACCACCCCCTACCTTCATATCTGCTTCAGACAAACAGCTGAGGCCAGGCTGTGAGAACTTGCCCCCATGAATTGAGACAGGGCTCCTCCTGCCCGCTTTTGTCTTGCCGGGAGGTGGGCTCAGGCTTGGCAGGCTCCTGGTCAGCAGACCAGACTGGTTGTATGAGTGTTCATCTGTCCACTTGGATTCTGAGGGTTGTTGGGGTGGAGCTGTGCCCTTCGGCTGGGTCTACTCTTTCACCCCTCCTATAGTCTCCTCTGCAACTGCAGCCTCCAGCATCAGTCTCCACCACCATGGACGGCATGGTGCCTCCAGTCCAGCGTCTTCTGTCCTATGCTCTGCCCTGCCCAGCCTCTGCTGCTCCGAACTCCAGTGAACGCATTGCTTTTATTTCAAACCCTCTGTCCCCTTCCCGCTTTTCCTTCAACCCCCTCTCCACCTTTACCTTCTCAAAAACAGAAGGGAAAAAAAAAAAACTGTGAAATGAGAAATGCTGACTGACAAACCAACACAACTTTCAGAGGCTTTGATGTCTGTTCTCTGGATGTTTCTTTTCACCTCTCAAACACCAAAGTCGCAGGGCCAGGTTGCAGGCCACTGATCGCCATGTTGATTTTTAACCTGACGTTCTTTTTAATTGTTTTAAATTTTTCATAGGGGAGTTTTGGACAAAACGCAGTCCCTGGGGAGATCACTGCCATTTTTACACACGTGACTTTTTAAAAATACAACCAACCAACCGCCACGACTTCTTATACATTTGGGACACGAGCCAGAGTTTAAAAGGGAATCAACAAAACTCTCTCTATAACATAAAGGATGGGGTTTTGTCTTTTGTACAATAATAAAACTACATTACAGCATATGGCTAGGGAAGGACATGGTGTATATAATTGTAAAATACTGTTCTAAATTATTCAGGCCTATAGCTTCCATTCCTGGAGTCCTCCATTGTGTGGCTGAGTATTTTAAATGCACACAGTGTGGTTTATTTAAAGGAGCCAGTGCGTCCCCCCTCTCCCCAGGTAGTCGGCTGTGGACTCTGTGACCTTTGTCTCAACCTGTGTTGTAAGATCTCGGGGCTTTCTCTCTCTCTCTCTCTTTCTGTGTCTCTTTCTTCCTTTCTTCCCCTAAACCCTTTCTCTTTCTTAGTCTTTCTCTGTTTTTTTCAATCTCTTTGAATCTTTCAGTCTCTCTCTGAGTCTCATTTTTAAAACTGCTCTTTTAGAACAGGAAACGGCTCAGATCCTGCTGTGGCGTGGGGCCTGTGTGTCTCAGTCGCATCTGCTGTGAAGCACACGATGCTCTATTTATTGTAGAAAGTGACTTTATTTGCTTTCTAGAATTGTTTATAACAGATGGTATAAGAGAGGTAATAAACAGAGAAAAATCTATGCTTGTAAAGAATACAAAAGTTAATTTTACCTACTATAATATGACTGTCTGAAACTTATTTTCTCTCTGAGAAATAAATGTTCTAATGGGCAGCAGTTGCTGTGTGTGTTTGAAGTCATCAGTGGGGCCTGCCCTTCTGTTCCTAATGTCTGCAGCTTTCCCCTTGTCCCAGGAAGCCAGGGGCCATTAAGAATGGGGTTGTCTAGCAGTTGCAGACTCCAGCTGGAGAGGGCTCTGTCTGTCTGCCTGCCCGTCTGTATCTTGGACCCCTGAGAGGGGTGTGAAGGTGGGTTCTGACGTTTTCCTCCCCAACAGCTTCGCCTTCTGGGAGCTGTGGACAGTCCAGCCTACTTCCCACTTTTTGGCTTCCCTGTGGTCTTGTTCCTTTAGGAGCCTCTGCCCCTCATTCAGTGGGAAAAGTGGCCCTTTGGACATCTTGGGCAACTGTTCACCAGGCTCACAGAGTTGGAGACTCTAGGCTGCTTCCGCCTCCTTTGCTGTTATTGCCGTCCCCATTCTATAAAGGAGCCGGGACACAGGGAGACGCACAGCATGAGCTGAGCTTCTTTCAGAGCTGGAAGGTTGAGTTGAGCCTGCCTGCTCTTCATTTTTCAGGCAAGAAAACAGGCCATGTTACCATGCTTCTGTGCTTGACTGGGAGTTAAGTGTCTCAGTGGTATGGCTGGAGGACACAGGAGTCTCCTGATCACCTCCTCCACAGGATCTTTGAAATTCTTGTCAATGAAGTCACTAAAGTGTGAAGGTTCTCAATCTGGTATAGCATTGATAGAGTATGTCTAATGTACTGATAGTCCTTGTGTTACGTGTTGGGGGTGCAAAACTGCACATCCCTAGTGTCAGGACGCTAACAACCTGATTTATCACAGACAACTCTGAAAAGGCTTCCAGAAGAATGAAGCAATTAGTTCAAGCCTTAGAAAATGGGGTTAAAAATCCCTATACATGAACTTATGTTTTGAATTATAAAAACAATTTAGAAGGAAATTACAAGCTCACCATATAAAACATTTTGGAAATAAAGGGAAAATGACCGGATGGGTAGGATTTTAGCAGGTGAGGATAAAAAGAGAAGTAGATGAAGCAGTTTAAGCAAAAAGAGGCCTCAGGGAGGTATGGTGCGTATTCCGACTCTGGGCTAACCACCATCCTGTTTCATTTAGGTGGCAAGGCAGTGTGTTGGGATTAAGACCCCTGTCACTCAATTGCTGTGTGTCCTCAAGCATGGTACTGGACCTCTCTGAGACTGCCTTAATAGAGGACACTGAAGCCAGGGCAAGGCATTAGTACATGGTAGGTGACAACATCCATTGAAGGCCTTTGCATAGGGAAGAGCCTTGATTGGAACTTGGCAACTAATTAGACATCAGAGTCAAAAAGGAGTGTTAAGGCAGGGTCATTGTGTGGCTGGAGGGACCAGCACTGGGTTCGTGGGTGAAGAGGAAGAGTTTAATGTTTGATGAGTTTGTGTCGCTTACAGGACATCTGAGGAAAACCCCCAGCAAGCAGATGGGACTGGGCCTGAAGTTCGAGTGGAAGGTAGGAAGAGATGATGGAAATGTGGGGCCACTGGAGCCCAGCAGGACAGTTAGGAGAATGGCCAAAGAGAAAGGGGGAAGGACGGGGCTGAGGAAGGCCCCTTACATTTAGAAGCTGGGGTTGGGAGACAGAGGATGGAAACAGCACCTTCAGAGGGGTCTTGCCCCCAGGGGGGGCCTCATGCAGAGAGTGTCAAGCCCTAAGGATCATCCAGCAACCCCATCACCCCCAACTCATTTCACAGAGAGAGGCAAGTCAGGTGTGCTCAGCATCACAGAGCAGGAAGAGGCAGGGCAGGACCAGAACCCAGAACTCAGCACTCTGCTCTTCTCACACCCACATATTCAGAGCCCTTGAGGTGAGTAGAAGCTTCCTTAATGAATTTTATCAATGTTGTGATTAAAAATCATGGACTCAGGTCTAAAATATTATGATACTGGAGCATATAGGGACACTCTGACCAGGAATAGAAAATCTCAACTTTCCAAACACGTTTAAAAATATCATTAAAAGCATTTGCCAAAACCCTGGTCAGCTTGGCCACTTCCATTAATGTAGTAGTTGCCATTAACACTTGAGTGTGAATTTGCCTTTCAGACAGGCTCTCCTGGCCTGGCTTATCTGTGAGCTTTGCCTTTGAGAGAAGACTGCCAGGCTCTAGGACAGGTACTGAAGGGAAATACAGTTCAGGGGTCTTGTCTTCCTGGCTCTGCAAGCCCTCCCACGGTATATGTAGGGCAGAGTGTGGGGACATCTGGTCCTGCCAGCTGCAGCCAGTCTGGCCTTTGCCGAGGGAAGGAGGTCTTTGGGAGAGGGAAATGGTTTCTCCAAAAGATGGAGAAGATGTTTCTGCCTCACCATGTGGTGGGGAAGAGGGGCCAGAGGGGTGTGTGTCTGCTGGGCCAGAGCTGGGGGGGGACCTCTAACTCGACCTAAGCACTTGAGGGTGCCCTTCTGCTTATCCTTTTCCTTCAAGCGTGGAAAGAAAAAATATATGTATGTATGTGTGTGTATATATAGGTTTTTTTGTATATTTAAAATGTATTAATATGTTATTTTTATATATTGCATACTATATTGTTTATATTGTATAGAGAGATTAGTATTCTCTACAATTTTAATATTCTTAAGAGGGCCAGGACTCCCAGGCTACATGAAGTAGAAAAAGCTTATTATTCCCAATTTCATAAGGGTTGTGTTGTTATTTCAAAGAACATTGTGGGTCCTCTGCTTGGCACCTGTTAGGCTGGTGGGAAGTAGTGGGTTTCAGTCTAACTCCCCTTGCTTCTGAAGCAGTGTCTGAGTTCCTTCTTCCTCCTTTCTGCTTTGTACTGGACCCTTTTGGGGACCTAGAGGCAGTTTGAGGGATGCAACATTGATGGTTCCTGATGGGCAAGAGTGTAGGATGCACATAGGCCCAGGGGAGGGCCTCTCCTGCCAGCTTCACAGTCCAGAAGGACCCCCCGAAGGTTTTTATCTGAGCTGGTCACGAGAGACTATAAACTTACTCTTTGCTATCTAATTTGAAAATTTTTTTTAAAGTGCAAAGGAGAAAGTAAGACTTCTGATTACCCAGAAATAACTATTTCCACCATTTTAATGTAATTCCTGACAGTCTCATGTGTTTTCTTGGTAGAGTGTGTGTTTAGTTTCTTGTACTAGGGAGGTGAGGGATCAGCAGGGAGCTGTCTGCCATCACTGCGGAAGCTCTCGGCATGACTGGAACACAAGGCCCAACAGCTCCTCCGCCCCAGTTTAACTTTTCCTCACTTGCCGAGTATCATGAACCGGCCTAAGCCAACCATTGCCTGTTATTGTTGTTCTATTTTTTCCCTTTGTTTTGTAGTCTCTTGCAGTTGAAATTGAATGGGAGCTAAATATCTCTATCCCAAGAACTTTGCTAGGGTATAATTCCCTCAAATAATTCCTGGACCAAATTCCACCACATGTTCAAACACCTTTGAGTGAGGAGGCCCCCAAACTTCATATATTTTCTTCTCCAGCTTGAGAAGTTCCCACTCTCTGCCCTCTGGGACAGCCACCAGCACCTGGCATAAAAAGTCACTCCAAGAGTGATGGACACACTCTTCTGAAGGCAAAACCAGCAGCTGAGTAGTCAGGTCAGGGGGCTGGAGCAATGGAACTTCAGACCAATAATATTTTTGTTGTTTTCAGTATACCTTTACATATAATAATTAAGGTCCACAGACTGTAAGTTTAATCTCCATGAATTTTTACATATGTATCCATCCATGAAACCACCACCCAGATCAAAATACAGAGCATTTCCAGTGCCGCAGAAAGTTCCTCATGTTCCTTCCCAGTCGGTGTCCGCCTAGCCCAGCTGGGGAACCCCCACCCCCATTTAGGGGCTGGATGAGATAGGAGAGCTGTACTATGGTGCCCAGCCAGATTCCTGCTTTGGCTGTTTGGAGAATAAGGTACTTCTCAATTCAGAGTAAGACAGCCCTCCTGGGCCCCCTCCTCGGCCCCCTCCTCCTCACCCCTGGTGGTTGTGCTCTGGGGGACGGAGCCCAGCCTCAGAGGCCTCCTCACTAATGCAGACCCATGCTGGGGACACTTCAGTCTTCAGGAAACCCGTGCACAAGCAGGGCATAAGGCATCCCTTGCACATTGTGTCCAAAACTTTTCTTGCCCGCTGGCTGATGCCTGCAAGGCCATGATCCTTGGAGACTTGCCCATGATCCCCGTTTCCTTTGAGTTATTGGTGTCGTGTGGAGATAAAGAATGTGTGGGCAGGTTTTGATGAGGCAGTAGAGCAAAGGACACTGGGTCCTTGAGGGGAGGATTAAAGAGGGGATGAAAATGGCCTATTTCCTGTTGGCTGACCTTGGTGACACAGACACACACTTCAGAGCCATCAAGGATGAAGGCTTACTGGAGTGACTTCAAAAGAATTACTCAGATCACAGGTGGGTGAAGGTCTGAGATAAGACCGTAGGGTCAGGTGAAGAGACCCAGGGAGGGAGCCTTGTTTGGAAACAAAGCTCTAGAAACAAGATTGCTGAGCCCAATTGATGTGGGCAGCCATGTGAAGCCAACTCTGTCCTTAGGCGTAAGAGCGTGGTCGGGTCGGCCTGGGCTGAGGGAGGAGGACATAGACCTCCCTGGGCCATCCCACAGGGCTTCTGGCTCCACTTGTGATTCTTGGCTTGGAAGGTTTTGGCTGCCAGAACCCAGACATTCCTCCTCCCTCCCTTACACTCTCCCTTCCCTTCTCCCTCCCCTTTCTGACTCCCTCTCTCAGTCTCTCTCTCTTCAAATTTTATTATTATTTATTATTTTTAACTTCAGTTGATTTACGTGATTCAAAGTTTTAAAAATTCAAGAAAATCTCCCTCCTTGTCCCCAGCCTTCTAATTCTCTTCCCAGAAGCAATCAGTTTTATCAGTTACATGTGTAACTTCCCAGAGGTAGTTTAGTATCAGCATATGTGTGCACCTGTGTGTATGTGTTCCCTCTTTTATACAAGTGGTATCATACTGTTCATATTGGTCTAGGCCTCATTTTTAAAAATTGTTTTTGTTAAATAGTGAGTAGACAAAAATAGTAGTTATACAATATGTATAAATTAAAAAAAAACCCACAATACAATAAGCTACCTGGTACCTGACAAAGAAGCAGGGCTTTTAAAATCCTCTAAGTGGCCCTTTCCAGCCCCACTTTTTCTTCCCCTAAATACTGTCCTGAATGTTATGCTTATCATGCTTTTTTTTCTATTATGCTTTTTTCCCACCTCTGCCTTATATTTATATCACCATACAATAAATATTGTGTAGTGTCTCACACTTTCTGGATTTTGAAGAGAAGGAAGTGTACTGCATGAAATCTACAACTTGCTTGCATCCCACCCATGATTAGATTACAGTCCTGAGATTCATTGGTCCTGATACAGTCACTTGCACTCTGGTATGGAATTCCACTGTATGAAGATACCACAATTAATTTTTCATTATGCTATTTAAGGACATTTGGGTTGCTTCCAATTTTTCGCTTCTAGGAACAGCACTGGTGTGAATGTTCTTGATTGTTTTTCCTGGTGTATATGTTTGGGGGGTTGGTTAGGGTAAAGATTTCCCTGGGGGCACTTGCGGGGGCCTAGAACACACATTGTCAACTTCAAGGCAAACTGCTTCCCAGAGTGGTGGTTTTAATTCACACGCTTTCCAGCTGTTTGAGAGTTCCCTTTGCTTCACTCCTTGCCGACGCTTGCATTATAAGTTTTTAAGATTTTCCAGACTGATCATGTGAGATTGTAACTCGTTGTTTACATTTTATTTCTCTAATTATGCACGTTGCATTTTTACTTAAAATATACTTTGGTGATTGTTCCATATCAGAGCAGTAAGGACTTCCTCTTTCTTTCTTGAGCTGGAGAATGTTCTATCATATGAAAATCTGACTGATTTAAGCAATTCCTTACTGATAGACATTAAATTGGCTCTAGTGTTTTACAGTCAATTCTGCAATGAATAGCTTTGTATATCAGTGGTAAAGTGCATCTGTATGTGGGTGAGTCTATATCTAGGTTTCTTACCTGGAATCTTCTGAGACGTTTGGATGAAAATGCAAGACAGTTCTTTTTTATTTTAATTTTTTATTGAAGTGTAGTTGAATTACATCAGTTTCAGGTGTACAACAAAGTGATTCAGTTGTACGTATACATACATATAATTTATTTTCAGATTCCTTTGTATTATAATTTATTCCAAGAAACTGAATATAGATCTTCATGCTATACAGTAGGTCCTTGTTTATCTATTTTATATATAGTAGTGTGTATCTGTTAATGGAAGACAAATTTTGCTCCCCTCTGGCCTGGCACATATCTGTTTCTGGCAAATTCCCTTAATTCCTCCACTTCTCCAGGATGGAAACTGTATCTGCCCTGTCAGGTTTCACCACAGCACCTTTTCTCTGAGGTGCTTATGCTCATCTTCCCCCCTTTTCTCTGAACCAACCTGTTTCCCCTTTACTCCCCCCACCTTCACACAAATTCCTCACGGGTGGTCCTAGCCCAGCTCCTCCTTCCTACAGCTGTCCCCATCTCAAGAAATAGTATTCCCCAAGGAGCCAGACTTTGCCTGGCCCTGAAGGAGAGGAAAAGAAAGCTGATGGCAGCCCTCACAGAGTGGATAGTCTCAGAGCAGGCAGGGCAACAGATACACAAAACAACCAAGAAGACATAGGACAGTTCCCAGCCCAGCACCTATTAGCTGGGCTGCCCAGGCAAACCTCCATGTGCCTGGGCCTCATTTCTTTATAAAAGAAGGACAGTGACACTTCTTTGGTGCTTGGGACAGAGTGGGGCCGATGTTCATGCACTTGTGGGTCATA